ATACATGTGTAAGACAAGTTGACATCAGCTAAAATGAAATTTTGCAGACCAAATTTTAAAATAACACCTTTGCATGATTGATGGAAGAAATTTTTAAATAATTTTTGTAATTTATTTAGCACAGCCCATGATACACTTTTTTTATTTGGATCTAAATATCTTTGTGTGGTATTTTTTTCAACTATGACAAAACACTGAAATCAATTGAAGTTAAACCCAGATCTTCAAATCAGTATATCACAAAGATGCTCCTTCTAGATATTATTTATAGTTAATGAGGTCAAATGAATTTTGTAGTTAATAAATCAAATAGTTAAAATATTTATTTTTATACGTAACTCATCTTTTAAAATTCCTATTACTGTGAATGTTTTATAATACATACAATTAGCTATATGTTTGTGGGATACAAATAGCTCAAGAATACTATTTATAAATAATGGAATATACATATGTAAGAATGAACACTCATACTGAAAAGAGATCACTGAATTAGAAAACTATTTCAAAGCAGACATCTGTAATAATCCATGATGCCTGCCTAGCCCATCGTTGGCACTCAATAAATATGTTTTGATGGTTAATATATTTATGAAAAAACATTAAACATCGCTAATCATTAGAGAAATGCAAATTAAAACCACAATGAGATATCATCTCACACCTGTCAGAATGGCTATTATAATAAAAAAGACAAAAGATAGCAAGTGTTGGCAAGGATATGGAGAAAAGGAAACGCTTGCACACTGTTGGTGGGAATGTGAATTAGTACGGCCATTATGGAAAACTGTGTGGAGGTTCCTCAAAAAGCTTGAAATAGAATTACCATATGATCCAGCAATCCCACTTCTGGCGACTTACCCAAAAATTTTAAATCAGTTTGTCAAAAAGGCATCTGCACTCCAATGTTCATTACAACACTATTCACAATAATCAAGTTATGAAATCCACCTAAGTGTCCCTCAAGCGATAAATGGATAGAGAAAATGTGGCATATATACGTAAAGGACTACTATTCCACCTTTAAAAAGAAGGGAAATCTATCATTGGCAGCAGCATGTATGAACAGAGAACATTATGCTGAGTGAAATTAGCCAGACACAGAAAGACAGGTACTGCGTGTTTTCGCTTATATGTGGAATCTAAAACAATCGAACACATAGAAGCAGATTGTAGAATGGTAGTTACAGAGGCGGGGGGATGGAGAAATGGAGAGATGGTCAAATGGTACAAAGTCTTAGAAAGGAGGAATAAGTTTTTTTGAGATCTACTGCTTAGCATGGTGAATATAATTAATAATAATGTATTATACATTTCCAAATTTCTAAGAGAGTAAACTGCAAATGTTCTCAACACAAAAAAATAAGTATTGGAGATAATGGGTATGTTAATTAGCTTGATTTAAGTATTTCACATTGAATTCATAAATTATAACATCAATCTGTAAATTGTATCCCATACGTTGTATTATATTCATATCCCACAAACATATATAAATTGTCAATTTTCAATAAAATAAATTTTTAAAAATCTGTGTTGAATGAATGAATGAATGAATGAATGAAACACCCTCCACAGCAGCCACAGCTGTAGAAGAACTGACAGATTAACAGCACCAGCTTCTGGATGTTTCTACTGAAGCTTTCAGAAAAAAACATCTTTCAAGCATCATGTCTCTGTCCATCCAATAAAGGAGACTCCATTATAATCAACTTGCAATCATCTATATCAATATTTAGACGTAGTGGATAGAGAATCCCCCCAGTTAATTCAACTCAACAAAAATTAAGAGAGTCTCATATTTGACATTCAAATGAAGTAAGTTAATACAAAATAAGTTATCTATGGTTTCTGATGTCAAAAAAATTATGTTTAGCTTTAGAACATGTCTTCAAATTTCTACTTAGATATGAGTGCAGCTTGATGTTCAGAAAATTTTAGCCACTTGGTCATGTGATTTTATTTTTTTTCAGATGTCTACCTTCTTCATCTTGCCACATACTTGTCTCCTTGCTCCCTGTTTTATGCTGGAATTGGACAGCCTCATGGATCAGAATCTCGTAAAACACTAACCTACATAACACCGGCCATGCTCTTCTTCAAGTTGCAGATCAAGTTGTTCATGCCTCTACTTCAAAAGAGAGTAGGTAAGACAAATGCGTTTTTAATAGATCACTTGTCACTTGAGCCTCACTAAAGCAGAAGATAAAACCTCAAATCCCTTTCCTTCCATGTTATTTTTCTAGGTTCTGGTTTTCAGGTAAAATAAGCCAAAAAGACAATGGTACTGGTAATCTAAAGAGGGCTAAGTAACTGGATGCGTTGTCATCCTCCAAAATCTGGAAATAAGACAAATAGCAGAATAATGTATTACTTTTAAAACAGTTACTTCGATGAAGATTAGCAATGAAGTCAGTGAGCTCAGAAGCCTTTAGAAACTCAGGAAAAGGAGATCCCTTCCAAACTACAACTGTAACTACAGACCCCTTCCAAACCATAATTCACTCCATGGACTGATCTTGGAGGGGACTAATTGGCTTCTGGAATTTCCATTCCATGGTGACGTCTGGCCTTATGAGATGGCTTCCTTAGGTCATGTTTCCAGCATGATGTCACATGCTCCTGGATCCTGACTGATGGATTTTCAGAGCCTGCTGTGGAAATGCCCATGGTAGAACTTATCTCTGGACACTCAGCATCATGAGAAGTTACTCATGATGGCATGAATAACAGGAAGAGCAATCGAGTTAAAAGACTTCCTTTCTCTCCTCAGCTCCCCACTCTCCTGGACAACAAGCCCACTAGCCTTGGGAGAACGGGACTGCAGCCACAGTGGGGACTGGTTTTATCTTCTTCTGCAACAGATCAATTTGCAAAGTCAACAAGACTAGTGTAAGTTCCTTCCTCTAATCACGTTGTCTAACATGGGACTGAAAGCTAAGGGGGATTAACTTGATAAGAAATGAAACACTTTGGCACAGAAAAGTCTCTACAAATCTTTATGAAAATGTTTCCATCTTAGCAGAGTGACCCAGGAAGAAACCTAGATGGACTACTACCAAGACATTTGACCTCAAGATAAAAGAAAAAAATAGATCATTTATCTTAGCAATAAGTAAAGTATTTTATTTCTTTCCTAGTTTTTTCCAATGTTAACTCCTTTACGGAGGTTGCTTTTGCACGCTTTCAAAGAGTCACTGAAAAATCTTGCATAGTGGTTTTTTATGGAAAATCAGGGCTTTTAATCCAATAGAACTGAGATCCCCTCCCACATACTCAACATCACTACCAACAAAGATGTAAATGTATCATCTCAAATGCTGTCTTGAGCTTTTAAATCTAAAAAAAATCTGAATAAAAGCAATTCAGGATTTGTGTACTGGGATTTTAGGCAAATACAGAGAAAATTGAGTCAAAATTAACCCTAAGCAGAAGAAAAAAAAATCCAAAACAGGCAACTTTCTCCAGAGCTTTTATTTAAAATGGGCAAAGAAAATGTGTCAAAGAAACTGTCATTTCCCAGAAAAGTCATTCCCCAGAAAAGTTCGTGACTTCTATGTGAATTCTACCAACTGAAGTGTCTGCTTAATAGTGACAATGGTGCTCTTAGCAGGTGGATGTGCCAGTTCCCAAGGCAGAGGTTCACTGTCAGGGGCTAAGTACCCCTGTTAACAACTCAGTCTCTTCTAAACCTGATGTTTCTTCAGCAAAAAATAAAAATAAAAATAAAAATAAATTAAAATTAAACCTAACAGTACTTCTGGCTGAGGCTCTAGAAGTCCGCAGGAGGGTGGGTGTTTGGATGGAGGAGGCCTTGGCTCTACAGAATGGAGGCTTATGGAATCTTTTAAGACACTAAAGAAACCCACATGGTAAAAGGCTGGGCACGGTGACTCATGCCTGTAATCCCAGCACTTTGGGAGGCTGAAGCGTACAGATCACAAGTCAGGAGTTTGAGACCAGCCCGGCCAACATGGTTAAACCCTCTCTCTACTAAAAATACAAAAATTAGCTGGGTGCGGTGGCGCGCACCTATAATCCCAGCTACTCGGGAGGCAGGAGAATCACTTGAACCTGGGAGGCAGAGGTTGCCAAGATTATGCCATTGCACTCCAGCCTGGGTAACAGAGTGAGACTCCATCTCAAAAGAAAAAGAAACCCACATGGTACCACTAAGCCTAAGCAAGGGCCTATCACCTTTAAGCTTCACAGGGTCTTGGCCTCCTCAGTACCAGCAGAGGGCCTAGAGTTGAGCAAGAAATGGCCAAACACATCCTCCACCATGTTTACCACAGCCCAGCTTCCCTTGCACGTATCCTCAAGAAGAGCAGTAAAACCACCTCTTCAAGCAATGCTTTCCTTCAGTTTATTGTTCTTCTTAATAACCAAGTAATCAGGAGCCAAGTCATGCCTCAGCCTTCCTCCTCCCCGCATCAAACTCAAGCTTCCTCCCACACCCCTCTCACCAACTAAAATGCACAGCCTGTTCCCATCCCTCCTGTGCCCCTCTCTCTGTCACTGGCCTGTCCCCACCCACCCTGATGTTCTTTTTTCTCCCCCACCCACTCCCCACCCCTCACTACCCTGAGCCCCAGGCCTTGAGATTTTGCTGCCCAGACTATAAATCTGGCCAATGCTGAGAAGAGCAAACAAAGGAGCAACTGTGGGAACTGACAGCTCAAGGACTGTGGCATCAGGGTGGGCCCTTGGCTGCCTTTCTCAGGAGGTGCTGCCAGGGCTGGTCTTCCCACCGGCCACTGCATACAGCTCAAAATGACAGAGGGTGTGAGTGGCCCAAGACAGGTCCACAGGCACTGGAGAAGAGGGGCCTTTTCCAAGAAATGAAATGTGACAGAAATGAAAGCCCCTGGACCACAGACTTGGCAACATTTGACATAAAATATTATCACTAAAATCCCTATGATTGCCTCCCAAAATAGAACAGAATCGAAAAAGAAATAAGAAAGAGAGAAGAAGCGTGGGAGGGAGGGAAGGGAAAAAGGGAAGGGAAGGAAGAAGGGAAGGAAGGTTTACAGGTCTACAATTCTAGCTGTGGGTAGAAAGTGTAGTTATCATATAGCTACTCCAAACAGGCATGAACCTGGGGCTCAATTCCAGGCTCAATTTAAAATCCCAGTTTCAGGGAACAGGACTCAGGTGGGAACCACCCCTAAAAGCCTTCCACAGAGAGAGTGTGGTTGAGCGCGTAGGCATCATTATCCTCTTCCTCCAAAAGCAGCTTGTCGATGGTCAGTGAGCTGGCGGCTCTCCTCGGGTCTTCCATCTCCTGAAGGACTGGCTCTGGGATAGAGATGGGGAGCTGGACAAACTGGGGCCCGGGCAGGGCTGGGGCCGGAGGCTGGTACTGCAGGGTGGAGGTGGGTAGCGTGGAAAGGGGCTGAGGCCACGGGAAATAGGTGAGGGGTGCCTGGTGCTCTGGGCCCTCCAGCGGGGGTCCCACTGTGGGTGTGGCGGAGCTTCTTGTCTGTGACAGGGAAACACAGGACAGAGGGTTAGCAGCCCAGGAGACCAACCCACCTGTCCTTGCCCTTAGAGGGGTCTCCATCTCCCCCTTCCACTCTGCCCTTTCCTGGTTTCTCACTTCATGGGGCTCCACTTCTCCTACTCAAAGTCTTCCCCAAAGGAGAAGCCATGCAGACTTCAACGACAGCGCCCTCCCTGTCCCTCCCTAGCTATATGTCCTTGCTTAGGCCACTTCCTGCTCGGAAGGCTCATTGTTCTCATCTATGAAATAGAATACAAATAGTAATGAACTCATTGGGTTAAGCCAATTAGAGAGGATTTTCCAGGTTTCTTTGAATACAAAATGCGTTTCTATTTCAGAGATCTTAAAGCATGAAAAAATATGCATCTTAAGATCTATGAAAATACAACACATTAAGCCATAGCCTGGCAGCTGTATCCAGAAGGTGGCCACTGTCCTGCCCAGGCTCCACACAGCAGCTTTGGAGGTCCCCATGAGCCAACACAGCTCCGTCACCTCCCACCCCTCTAGTGGTGGCCAGCATGGGGAGGTCCAGCCATCCCCAGGTGTGAGAAGCACTGCTTTGTCAGCAAACGTGGCCTGCCTTCCTGCTGCTGCCTGGTGCCTTCCACATCCTCATACTCCTCTGTCTCTGAGCTGGTCTGCATGGCCACCCCACTCATGGGCACCCCCCATGACCCTCCAAGGGTCAGCTTGCATGCTCTGAGTCATACCTCTCCCCTGCTCAGTGACTGCCCTCACAAACCGCAGCAAGAGGCGGGCCTGGATTCTTACTTTTCTTTCATAGTTGAGGAAAGCAGATAGAAGAGGATTCTCTCTGCATGGATTCATGTGAGAAAGGCCAAAATCTCCCCCTACTATCCCTGTCTTCCCAGTCACATCTCCCTCCTATTATCACTGTGTCTTGAGAGCAAACTGCTAGAATGAGGTCAAGGCTTTTTTCAACTTCCTGGGGATCTTGTTACAGTGCAGCTTCTGCCACAGGAAGTCTGGAGGGGGCCCTGGAATTTTGCATGTTCAGGGGACACCAATGTGGCCAGTCCAGGGACCAGAGTTTGAGTAGCAAGGTTTTAGGGTGTTTTGCATAGAATGATAGAGCTGGAAGGGGTCTCAGAGGTCTTTCAGCCTCCCGAGATCCAGGCTGAGGTGTGCACCCCACCACAGCACACCCACTTCGTCTCCTTTGACTTAAGCCAGTGGTCCTCATCCCAGTGTCCTGAAACCCAGACGGGATCCAGGAAAGCCTCATTATTTCCAACTTTTCAAAAGTCCAAATGGAAATCCTACATTTCCCAGTCATACACCTGCACAGGTCCATTGCAGCTACAGGCTTCTTTGCTCAGGAATAGAATTACACCCACCCGGCACCACAGCAGATCTTATCTCTGCTGATCAGGAGTGTGGACTTGTAGCTGTAGCCAGCTTTGATGAGTTAATTTATAAAATGGCAAAACAAATAAATTATTTCTTAATAAATACTCTTTGTTTGATACACAGAAACTTTCAAAGCAGAAGGTGGGGAGGATGAAAGGGGATAAATAATGAAAGGAATCCTTGGTAATGAAGTGGCTGGGAACCATGAGTCCTGCACCCCTCCAGGCCCACCCCAGGCCCCCTGACATGGAAATGAGTTGCCTGGGAGAGGTATTGGATTAACTCCTTCTTATCTATCATCATCCAGGCTCCAAAATTGGTTTGCTGGGTAGCCAGCTGGGCCTGGGATGGAAGGCCTTGCATACAAGGTGCTTGGAGGAAGGACAGGTGCATCAGGATTACCCTGGACCCTGGAGGGAAATGGAGGAGACAAGGTGGACCAAAACAAGCTCACCATTGGAGGTGGGCTCTGGGACTGCTCAAGGCCCAGCTTTACTTCCCATGGTTTCCCTGAACTGGAGCTGGATACAGGTGTAACCACAGGTCTTTTTGCCCTTTAGCACTTGCAAAACTCCCATTCCTTTAATCAAACAGGCACCATTAACATAAATTTATTTCTCTTCTTTCCTTCTTTCCTGGGGGAAGAAGAGGCCCTTCCTTCCCCATTGGGCCCTTGGTTAATGTTAGCAGATTCTGATACAATGATGTGCTAAGCCCTCCACATGCATTATCTCATTTGATCCTGACAACAACCCTTTTCTTGGTATTCCCATTTTATAGATGGGGACACTGAGGCTCAGAGTTTAAGTCAATAAGCCCAAAGTCACATAGCTAGTAAATGAAGGGGCAGGGATTTGAACACAGGCAATCTGACAGTAGGGACCGAACTTTAAAGAATTACCCTACACATGAGTCTGATGCCATCAAAAATATCACCTGTGGCTCAGCCTAGAAATCTTCTGTTAAATCCTATTATTAAGTGAACAATCGCTCCCTAAGTTATCGGAATAGAAATGAAAGGCTGGTTCCAACACAAACCCCCATGTAGATCTCACCTGCTACCCTATTCACTAAAAACCTCAACTTGGAACCAGGACTCACTGCTTTCAGGGAAGCTGGGAGATTTAGAACAGGGAATCAGAGAAGACCTTCCCAGTCCTGAGGGGCAGAAAGTATGACAAGCAGGCTGCAAGACATCTTTGTGGAAGTTATTTCAGGAAATGAGAATCAGGGCAGGCCTCCATGGAGGACAAGGTGAGCTTTGATGACCTGATTATCCTAAGAATCAATACCAAGGAAGATCAGGGTCAGGAAGTCAGTTCTGATTCTAAAAGGTGCACTCAGCATGGGCAGGTGCAGTTCTGCCTTTGTGTAACATACCGTGACATTGGTGATGAGTGGCGGAGAGGCATAGGTCAACACTGAGGAGGGCCCCACCACCGTGTAGCTGGGGCACACGGGCTGCACATACATGTCAGCTGAGTAGGGACAGCTGACAGCTTCATGGGGCACATACTCGGTGTAAGGTGTCCATGGGGCCAGGGGCTGGAGGGTGGCCGGGGTGGGCTGGGAGAGCCAGCCAGCACACAGGGCACCCTCCTCCGTCACTGCAGATGCAGAGACCTCCATGTCCAGGCAGGAAGGACCTGTGGGAAGAAGGACATTATGGAACTGCAGATGCCACCCAGATGAGAGGCCTGAAGAGACCAGGGCTACAGGGCACTCTTACCCACTGTGGTGTAGGTCGCCAGGGGCTGATGGGGCAGCACCACCTAGAGGGGAGAAGAGAAGACCAGGGTCAGTGCTCAGCCATCCCCAACTGGCTCTGTGCAGGGGACTTGCCCATAGGGCCTAAGGGCAGGAGAGTAGAACGTAGGAATCTCTCTGGTTAGAACAAAACACCCCACCTGGTACCCAACCATCACCACCTACACTTGAGGAATTTGTGTTTCCATTTAGCAGGAAGTCTGTGCACTCAGGGAGATGGCATCTTCCTCTTCTTAGGGACAGCCCCCAACTCACGCCAGGGCATGTGAGTCATTTGCTCACTCAGACCTTGACAGTAGCTGTGTTCAGTGGGCCAGCTGAGCCAGCCCGATCCCTCATCCCAGTTTCTCCACCCTCACTCTATCCATGGCAGCCTCCACCATGCAGCCTGCTGCCTTTTGCCCCCAGTGACTATCCCACACAGTGAGGACCTACACTCCTTCCTGCCTAATCCCTTTGGTTACGTCTCAACCCATTCACCTGCACACACACACACACACACAGACAGACACACACACACACACGCACAATCTCTCTCACACACACTCTCTCACACACATACACACACACAGACACAAACACACATATATACACACTCATACACATGCTCTCACACACACATAGACACACACGCTCTCTCACACACACAATCACACACATACACACACATACACACACATACATACACATACACTCACACACACACATACACACGTAGACACACACACGCTCTCTCACACACACATGCACACACGCACACACATACACACACGTATTCACAATCTCATACACTCACATACACATACGGTCTCACACACATACACATACACACGCACTATGACACCCATGCCCCAATTCTCACACACAAATACACATTCTCATACGCACATATTCTCCCACATTCACACACTCACACATACACACACACACGCATACGCTTGCACACTCACACACACACTGGCACACTCACCGCCGTGGGTGCAGGTGCTGTCCCGCTGCTGGCATGGCCTCGCTTCCTCCTCAGCAGTTCCTTCACTGGCTCCTTCACACGGACGCCCTGGTATGGCCGGGCCGGGGCTGGGGCTTGTTCTGGAGCTGTGGCTGTGAAAAACAATGTCCCTGGAGCCCATGATCCTCCTCAGACAAGCCCCCACCCCAAAGTGCTCATTTGCTCATGGATCTGCCTGCTCGCTAATTCATGCTTAAACATAGAAAACCATGTGACACTTCCTGGAATACTTCTCCAGGATTGTCACTCCTCCTGCTTCCAAACCTTCTGTGGGTCCCCTGCACACAGACGACTAAGGCCCAGCTCCTTATCCTACAACTTAGTTGTCTGGGTGCAGTGGACCCACAGTTTCCATTTAGTGCACAGACTTCCTGCTAAATGCAAATGCAAATCCCTCAAGTGTAGGTGGTGATGGTTGGATAAGCCTTCAGAATGAGATCCAAGCCCATTGTTCTCACCACTTTGCACACTCTCTGCTACCCAATCCCTGACTCCAACCAGAAGGTCTGTCTGTATTTCTCCACGTGTTCTCTGCATGTCTCACCCCCTCATCTGTGGTTGAGGTTTTCTGTGGTCAGAATTCTCTCTCACTTCTTTCAACCTCTTGGTTCTTGCTGACCCAAGACAAGTGCAATCCTCCTGCCTGACCCCTGCAGCCTGAGGAATTTCCACATCCTGCAGCCTCTCAAACATTTCCAGATCTGATTAGTATTCATCATAGGTGGCAGTACAGGGCAGCCATAAGAGCAGGGACCCTGAGCCAGATGGCACAGGCCTCAAATCCTGCCCCTGCCACCACCTCGCTGTGTGATCCTGAGCAAGTTACTAAACCTCTCTGTGCCTCTTAATCCTCAGTTTCTTTATCAAAGGAATGTTGAGAGAAGTCATCTGATGTGGCAAATGGGTAGAACAGTATGTGCTTCAAATAAACTCAGGTACAGGGTAGGCATTCAAAACAACTCAGTCTGTTACGTAATAGTTATTCTTTCTGATGTGTCTTATGCCCACAACTAGATTATAAACTTTTCAAGGTGAGTTCTTGTACCTTATTTCTCTATGTGTTCCCAGTAGCATGCCCATCCGTCTTAAGCTCAGTTGATACTTATCCGTCTTAAGGTCAGTTGATTAATCCATTGGGTGATTCTTTAAGCTATGCTGCCATTTGTCTTCCCTTCACCTCTCCTACACCTTTAGAATGGAGGCAAGAGGCTCCCAGGTTCTCAACGACTTCCAGGGCACGGAGCAAATACCCAAGGGTGATCCATGTGCCCTGGGGCCAGAGAGCATCCACCTGCTGCTGAGAAAAGGTTTCCTTCCCCTCTTGTCATCAAAGCAAAGAAACCAAGGCATTGACCCAAATAAAAGTCAGTGCATAGGGCCCTTCCTGGCCTGGGAGAGCAAAACTGGAAAGCAGCCATGGCTGGGAAGTGACAAGCTGCCCACCCAGATCGCCTGTGGTCTAGGGGCCCTGGGCTCTCAGAGAGCAGGCCTGGGTCAGCCAAGAAACCCTAGCCCTTAGGACTTCCACAGGGAGCCCATTATCATCCACCGATAAGGACCCCAGGGATGTGGGCTCTGAATCAAAGTCCTGGAAGCCTGGGTATCTGTTAAACCCGGATCTGCAGCGCTACCCTGGTTGAACTTTGCTCAGTAAACATCCAGCTGATAAGGTCCCATGCCTGACTCGGCACCAGACCTCCCTCCAGGTTCTAGCCATGAGCAAGGCTTGGCCTTGAAGCCCAGAAGGCAGAGAGAAGCTTGGGCAGAGACAACAGGAAGCGGAAAGTGAGCCCCATGGGCACATGATATGGGGTGAGGAATCCCAGTATCTCAAGTGGACTTCAGACCCATCCTCCAAGGTCCCTCAGCTGGCCAGATAGCAAATCAACCAGGAATTGATACAATATACAGGTGCAGGTCCTGCTCTGGGAGAGTGTGATTCTAGGGGGCTGATATGGGCCTAGGAATCTATGTGTATAAAAATCTCTCAGGTAATTCTGAAAATCTATTGGGACTACAACCACTGATAATTCATTCCTAATTTAACATAAGAATCTCCCTATAACATCCCAATAGAAGAGTCATTATCCTTATTTTAACTTCCCCTGTCTGAACAAGAGATCTACTGGTCTTTATTCATTCTTTCAAATATTTGTAGTGCCCAGGAGTACAGCACTGAGCAGGACCCATGCAGCCCCTGCCCACGTGGATCTTGCAGTCTAATGGGGAAGACAAGCAAGAGAAGTTACCAGCAGCAGAACGTCACAACTTGTGAAATTCTGCCATAGGAGTGTCTAGCAGGGGGAACCAGCCTGGTATCTGTGCCCCAGGGCCACCTGTGCACCTTCACCTTAGTTCTGAACACCAGTGACAGTGGACTTGAGAACACACATACCCGTATTCAAATCTGGGCTGTCACTTACTAGTGGAAAGTTCTTAGATTTATTTAATGTCTCTGGGCTTCAATTTCCTCATTTGTAAAATGGGAATAATAATTCTTCTCTCACACAGTGGTTGTGAGGACTAGCTGAACTAATACATGGGGAGCTCCAGGCCACATCTAGATGCTCAATGCATGTCGTTTTTCTTCTCTTCCCTCAGGCCATTTCTGCCTTCCTTCAGGGGGATATCATATCAGACAGCTCTTCATCTTACTGAAGCTGCCTTACGGTAACTCATGCTGTATTTCCCTCCATTCCCTTCTAAAGAAACTCACAATCCTTCTCCATTTACAGCTGTCTTATCTATAAAGTGAGGATCATAATGGTATGATGTTGTAGGGTAATTTAAGGATTACATGTGAAGTGCTTGGACTAGAGTTTGGCACAGAGCATTTAATATGTGTGAGCTCTTATTATCATGCGTATTAGTAGTAATATTCCTTTTCCACATCTGAGAGACACTAGGTGCCCCCCCAGGTCTGAAGGGACTTATTTCTTAATGACATAGTTTCAGTCCCCCTGCTTTCCATCTGGGTGAGTCACTCTTGCACAAGTTCCATTTGCCACTTTCCCTACTGCTGGGTGGTGCCCAGCAATGACCACAGACCCCAGGTAAGACCTGACATGTAAGCTAGCAGGGCACCTACCCTCTCAGACTCTGCTCACTCTTTCTCAGGCTTACTCCATGGCCATGTCAGCATTTTTAATTTTTATGAGTACATAGTCAGTGTATATATTTATGGTGTACATGGGATATTTGGATATGGGCGTGTAATGCATAATCATCACGTTAGGGTAAATGGAGTACCAGTCCTCTCAAGCATTTATCACTTCTTTGTGTCATAAGCAATTCAATTATACTTTTTTAGTTATTTTTAAGTGTACCATAAATTATTGTTGACTAGAGTCACCCTGTGGTGCTATCAGATACTAGGTCGTATTCATTCTCTCTCACTATATTTTTATACTCATTAATTATCACCACTCCCTCCCCCTGCTGCCCTTCCCAGCTTCTGGTAGCCATAATTCTACCAGAAGTGTGTGAATTTTTAGTTTCCACAAATAAGTGAGAGCATGAAAAATGTGTCTTTCTGTGCCTGGCTTATTCCCTTAACAGACTGTCCTCCGTCCGGTTCCTTCCATGCTGTTGCACACATCAGTTTTGTTCACAGCCATATCCTGCAATTCCCACTTGTCGCCAACGGGGTTCCCAGCTACTCCTTAGGCATAAAGTACAGTCTGAGGCATTGTGCACTTAAGAGAAATTTGGGAAAGGGGTTATTTGGGGGTCTGAGCACTGTGGTCACCCTCTTAATTCAACCGAGGGACATATATTAGACCAGCTCAGAGACAGGTGTATGGCTCACCCCCTCTCGTTTGCATGTACACCTCTGAGGAAGGGCTCAGAGGCCTCCTGGTCCCAGTTCTTCCCAGGAAGTGGACACACCACATGCTTGGCTGGAAAGGGACCAGCTGGGCACTTCCAGGATTTTGTCAAGAGACAGCTTTCTGCCTCCTGCTGTTTGTAAATCAATGAACAAAGAGGGCCTGGTGGAGGTGCCGTGGGCAGAGAGCATCACCCTCTAATGTCTGGACTTCCTTGGAAAGCACAGTGTCAACAGGTGTGCCCTGGCACAACAGACCATATGTGGCACTATCTCTAAGTCCCCACCTCTTCCTATTGCCGTTGCAGGATTCCCACAGCTCCCAAGGGTCTCCTGACTGCCCGCCATGTGCCCACAGCCAGCTGCCGAGCAATCCTGTAACTGACTCCAACTGAGCAGGTAAGAGGGAGGGTGCTTCTCCTAGTGGCTTTGCAAAGTGCTCATGAAAGATCAGAATCTGAAGCCTCAAGACAATTCCGAAGGAGCCCAGCAACAGGCAAGTGTTTTTGCAAGTTGAAACTTGCAGTTGGTACCTTTCACACTAACCTATGTGCAGCAACAATAAACATTTTTAATTCCACAGTAAACACTGAGCTCCCTACTGTCACCATCATGAGAACTGAGCCCACAAATACAAATCTGGGAGAGGAAAAGAAGCTTGTCTAAAATCACGATTGCCTCACCTTGGGGCTCCTGTATCCCTGAATTAACTTCAAAACAACTAAACTGGAATATGTAAAATAAATGTTTTTAACCTTTTAAATAATTTTCTAAAATAATAATTTAAAAATCCAAAGAAAATAAACCAAGAGATTGAAATAATAAGATATCAGCAGAGAAGATAGAAGCCCAATTTCCCAAAGTGGAGTTCCCCTGATCAACTTTCAGCTCCAGGTAGTACACCCTCAAAGCCTGAAGCTTTCTCACCATCAATTCTGTGGTCTGAGAGCCTTTTAAGTCTCCCATGGGATCCAAGAGTCTATCACTGAGGAAAATCTTCCCACCTCAGCATGAGCCTCTTGGCCTGGATTGGAAATCTCCTTTTTGGGGCTGAGAAGTTCACCATATTGCCTTTCTATGCCACTGGAAGTCAGACCAACGGAGTTTGAGAGGGAAAAAAATCATTTATGGAGAAACCATTAATTTGTCCCCTAATAAAAGCTTCCCTTTTCCAAAATGAGCAATGAAACAAAACCTGCAGGTATAAAAAGTCAGCAAAGACTATTTCAGTTCCCCCTGCCACATACCCAGACATGCTCCACATCA